TGAACCTCATCAGGTTCCTCTCTGCCCAGCTTTCCAGCCTATCCAGGTCATGCTGAATGGCAGCACAGCCTTCTGGTGTATCTACCACACCTCCCAGTTTGGTGTCATCAGCGATGCGAACAAGGCAGAGATTTCAAGCTCTCCCCTTCCTACAACTTTGTCTTTGTTTATGTTTTCTACCTGGCTCTCCAAATTATCCTTTTATATATATGTATATAGGGCAACCAGTATTTGGCAGACACTAAATGCTAGTATAATCTAGGCAATAAATGAAAATCTGCAGAATATTACAGGCAGACATTACTTTCTGGCTGTGCTCTGAGTCATTGTGAAGAGTCTTTTGACTTTTAAACGTATGGCAGGGGGAGGGGAATGAAAAAGCCATAAAGACATTTGCTGTCCTCTTTGCAGAGGCTTCAGTGCGTGGCGCAGATCCAGATCTGAAGGCACGGCCAGTACCAGCACTGCTTGTGCTGGGACACGTAACCAAACCGTCTGACATGGGGAATTCCCACCTGAATTCTGCTGGGTTCCTTAGACCCACCCGTGCTCGCGGCATGGGAATCTGATGGCAGATACTAGATTTCAGCTCCTCTGGAGTGCTGGGAAAGGGGAACGCCAGGATTTTGGAAGGAGGAGTTTGCTACCCCCATGTGGGAATCTGCCTGTTATTCCCTTTAAATAAGTTATTTAAGCACCCATTGCTTGTGATTTAAGCTTAAGCAAAAATCTGTTATGAAGACCACAGGGTGGAATTTTTTAGGTTTTTTTCTGCTCAAGTTCTAGATTAAAAAGGAGGTTTCCATTTTCTGTTTGCACATAATGAAGACGGCTACGTGCCAGAAGATGAATGTTCTCAGGAAGCATTGCAGGGTAATGGCTGCGTAAGCCTCTGGTTTTGTTTACGTATCCTAAAATAAAGTTGTATGTCATCATTTTCTTGCCTAATATAAATATTGGAGAGTAGATAATTAAACAATACCAGCATATTTCTTGCTTAAAATAGACCCAAAAGATGGCCTACCTAAAAGTGAGAAACCTCTTTCTCCGCTTCCGTGGTCAGTGACACCGAGCTGCCTGATGCTGCTTTCTTGTGTTTTGTTTTGAAGTTTCACATTATATAAATATTTAACTCGTCTATACAGACTCGGTTTTGTGGAGATACAGCTTAAAATAATGACATAAATAATGGCATTCAGAATACCTCACAAATTGACAGCCTGTGGGATGTTCTGTAAAGAGACGAGAAATAAAATGTTACGAACATTTCAAGTAAATATTTATCTCGGCCTTCTGCTGCAGGAAGAACAGGAGGGAACTTCTTATTTGCAGTACTGTGTCTGCCCACACCTAAAGCACTCCAATATTCAGGGCACTGCTTCTTATGAAGAAAAGCCTCAGAACTCTCACACGCTTTGAGAGCGTTACGGCTGGTAACAAGTGGTGTCCCCCAAGGGTCAGTACTGGCCCCAGTCTTGTTTAACTTCTTCATCAACGACCTGGATGAAGAGTTAGAATGTACCCTCAGCATGTTTGCTGATGACACCAAACTGGGAGGTGTGGTAGATACACCGGCAGGCTGTGCTGCCATTCAGCGTGACCTGGATAGGCTGGAAAGCTGGGCAGAGAGGAACCTGATGAGGTTCAACAAAGCCAAATGCAGGGTCCTGCACCTGGGGAGGAACAACCTCATGCACCAGTACAGGCTTGGGGCTGACCTGCTGGAGAGCAGCTCTGCGGAGAGGGACCTGGGTGTCCTGGTGGACGACAGGTTAACCATGAGCCAGCAGTGTGCCCTGGCTGCCAAGAAAGCCAATGGGATCCTGGGGTGCATCAAGAAGAGTGTGGCCAGCAGGACAAGGGAGGTTCTCCCTCCCCTCTACACTGCCCTGGTGAGGCCCCATATGGAGTACTGTGTCCAGTTCTGGGCTCCCCAGTTCAAGAAGGATGAAGAGCTACTGGAGAGAGTCCAGCGGAGGGCTACAAGGATGGTGAGGGGACTGGAGCATCTCCACTACGAGGAGAGGTTGAGGGAACTGGGCTTGTTCAGCCTGAAGAAGAGAAGGCTGCGAGGGGACCTTATAAATGCCTACAAATATCTGAAGGGTGGGTGTCAGGAGGATGAGGCCAAGCTCTTTTCAGTGGTGCCCAGCGACAGGACAAGGGGCAATGGGCACAAACTGAGGCACAGGAAGTTCCGTCTGAACATGAGGAAGAACTTCTTCCCTCTGAGGGTGACGGAGCCCTGGCCCAGGCTGCCCAGGGAGGCTGTGGAGTCTCCTTCTCTGGAGATATTCAAGCCCCCTCTGGACAAGGTCCTGTGCAGCCTGCTCTGGGTGACCCTGCTTCGGCAGTGGGTTGGACTGGGTGACCCCCAGAGGTCCCTTCCAACCCCTACTATTCTGTGATTCTGTGATTCTGTGATTCTGCATCTTCAAGGGGAAAGTGAAATGCCTAGAAACGACGTCCGCTGAACTCTGGAGCTGATTCGAAGGACTGATTCTCTGCTGACTGTAGAGTAACGCGCGACATGTCCTGTGCATCTGCTGCCGTGATTTAGTCCCAGTTTAGCAAACCTGTCTATTCAGAGGAAGGAGGACTGTCTGCCCTCTCTGATACAGGCTTCTGGATACGTGTGTCTGTCAGTGTGCTGACACAGGCTTGTGTGACTGTCTGAAGATGCTGAAAAACATCAGGTAGATACTACGTGTATTGAGATGTCAGATCTTTCGTGGAGTGAAACGTTCCTCCCTTCCATCCGAAGGAGCAAACAGAGCGATGATGTTCAGTGGTCCTGCATCTGGCTCCGTGGATGATCTCTGGCTGGGATACTCTGCGCTGCATGAAGCGTGTAGCTATATGTCAGTGTCACATACACATTGTAGTGGGTTTACCAAAAACCCCAGACCTCTGGTAGTGTCAATTTTACAGTAGATTAAAGAAATAGCTTGGGTCGGAACAGACCTCTTGGAGATCGTTTGGTCAAGCCCACTCCTGAAAGCAAATGTAACTGGATCTGGTTGCTCAGGGGCTGTGTCCAGCTGAATCTTGAACACCTCCAAGGACAGAGATGCCACAATCTCTCCAGGCAACCTGTTCCAGTGTTTAACCACCCTTGTAGTGAAAAATATTTCTCCTTATATTTAATCAGAACGTCTCATGTTCCTGCTTGCATCTGTTGCCTCTTGCTCTGTCACCCATGCACCTCTGAAAAGAGTTTGGCTCTGGCTTCTACGTATCCTCGGACCAGATGGTTGCAGGCAGCACGGAGCCTTCTCTTCTCCGGGCTGCACAGACACGGCTCTTTCAGCCTCTCCTTGTGCAATGGGTGCTCTAGCCCTGACCACCTCAGTAGCCCTGTGTTGGGCTTCCTCCAGTATGTCCACGCCTTTCTTGCAGTGGGGAGCCCAACTCTGGACAGACATTGCTCCAGATGTGGTCTCACAAGTAGCATATAAAGCGAAAGGATCACCTCCCTGGACCCACTGTTGGTGGTCTTTGCCATGTAGGGTACATTGCTGGCCCATCGTCAACTTGTTGTCCACCAGGATCCCCAGGGCCTTTTCTGCAGAGCTGCTTTGCAGAGGGTTGTTCCCCAACCTGTGCTTGTGCACCGGGTTATCCCACTCTGAGTGCAGGACTTGCAGTTGCTTTTGTTGAGCTTCATGAGGTTCCCGTGAGGCCTGGTGCCTCTCAAAAGCAGCCCTGCCTGGCAGTGTATGGCCCACTGCCCCAGGTTGGTGTCATCCACACAGTGTAGATGGATGGCAAAGGACTGCATCTAAACTGTCTGAATCGGTTTTAACCCAGAGAGTCACAGAAGCTTCCTCTCAGACAGGCAGAGTTAGACACTGCAACCTCCCCTTGGATTATAGTCTAAAACCAAAATGAGATGTTCAGAACAGTTGTGGAGCCCTTACTGAGTTCTGTATTTCTGGCTTTAATGCAGCCAAACTAACTGCACAAAACAAATCTTGAAAGTTCAGAATTCCTCTGATTCCTAGGTTACTCTTTCTGTTGCAAATGAAATTTGCTCCAGTGCTAACAGCCCACACGCAGCCCCGTGCGTCGCCAGACCTCTGCGAGGTGGGGTAAACCGATGCTTCTCCAACTGCGGGGCACTTGCAGGAAGAGATGCTCATGGTGGAAGGAGCTGTTCCTTGCTCTTGGCTTGAGCACGTGGACAGTGGAGGGGAGGCTGCGAGCTCCAGTGGAAGAGGGAGTCAGGAGGGGGCATTGTAAGGCGAGGTAATTTGGGGAAAAATTGGATTAAGTGATCATAGACTCTTCGTGTCAGGTGAATTTGTTCCTCTCTCTGTCAAAGTGAGAGAGCCCTGGAACAGGCTGCCCAGGGAGGTTGTGGAGTCTCCTTCTCTGGAGATATTCAAGACCCACCGGGACAAGGTCCTGTGCAGCCTGCTCTGGGTGACCCTGCTTCGGCAGGGGGTTGGACTGGGTGACCCACAGAGGTCCCTTCCAACCCCGACCATTCTGTCATTCTGTGATTCTGTATACATTACCTAGCTTTTCCTGCGGCAGATCCCCAGTTGATGGTAAATGAGTGTATCAGACATTTCTTCCAGTGCTCTGTGCTCTCCCAGATTGCAGGAGATTTGTACGAGCACCGGCCTCCATCCTGCAAAGCGTTGGCCTTGAGCCAGGAAAGCACTTCAGCCAGCCATTAATTTTCAGATTGCATACATAAAAGTTAAGTGTGCATTTAAGTGCTTGGCCAGAGCGCTGGGTATCCTGCAGGCCCGAACCCTCTGAGAAACTACTGGGTCTGCTTTTTTTAACGCAATTCAGTCTGTCACGTAAAAAGATGCCGTAATCTTTCCCTCTCTACCCCCGCGTTCAGGAGACAAACATTGTTCTTGGATCAAAGGGGAAAAAAAAAAAAGTCATTTTGAAAGAAGGCGTAATGAGGAGGGCTGCCCCACATTCGGAGTGCGTGCTTGTGGTTAAGGGGAACTTTTACTGCTGCCGAGTGGATCACTTAATCCTTTTATTTCTGTAGCTGGCATTTCCTACATTTTTTTTGCCAAACATCAATACCTTTATAAAGCAGTCATCTGGTTTTGATTTACAAAAATGTGTGCTGAAACTCCAGCCAAGGGATCCAAAAGTTTTATGAATTGACAAGCCAGGTAGTCTTTAATTAGTGTAGGAGAAAAGTGGTTCTTTGTTTGGTTTTGCTTCATTCATGTCATTTCTATGGAACACCACTGGAAGAGGAAAAAGACTCGCACAACTGGTTTTACTTAGCTTCATGCACAGGCGAAATATTCTCCCAGTTACACGACTAGAAAGGGAAAAAATCTGCAAAGCCACACGTTATTATCAGCTGAAATTTGCACCTTATAAACAAGATCTGGTTACTTGACCGTGTCACTCGGATGAAATCTAAGGCCAAAGCAGCAAGGTGTTCCGGTATTTTCTGTGTCCCAGAGCCCTTTGTTTCTTTTTGTAAGCCCTGCTGTTCAGATTCTTTGTACACCCAACACAAGGAAAATGTTGTTCCAGGTCCAGCTAAATAGCCTTAGATGTTTGTTCAGGAAACCTTCTCATTTTTCCAAGGAAAGAAATACAGAGCGATACTGGAGAAATTGTAGCTCCAATAAATAAACATCCTTAGGTTTTTGTTCAGGAAACCTTTTCTGTTTTCTATGGCAATAAATGCAGAGCAGTGCTGGGAAAAACCTAGCTCATCAGCATAGCCGTCTCTCAACGATCTCTTCATAATCCTTAGGAGCTGAAGAACGGACTCCTCTAGCCTAATTGTGGACCTGCTAAGGAATCATGTAGAGATCCCAGGCAGACTGAACTTAGCAATATTTTAATTTCAAAGTATTAATTTAACAAAGGCATTTGTGGATCTATAAGAGCACTTGTTGTCTAGGCACATGCAAAGATGGTGGGTTTTTTTTTTTGAGGAAATGCCAAGGTTATGATGTCTCCAACCTACTGATGTGAGAGCAAGGTTGGTGAGCGCAGATGTCCTGTTCCCAGGTCACTCGGTGCCTCAATCCCATGACTGGGGCCAGACCTCCAGAAGCTGGCTGCCAACCTGGTGTTACCCCAACAGCCTCCCTTCCCGTAGGGCATGCAATTTCTAAAGGGCAGTGCTGGGAGGATCTTGTGCAGTACTGCATGCCTGGGGACGCCTTTGCTATCTTCTCCTTCGTGTATCTTTTAACTCCTGATGGGATGAATAGGGCAGAATTTTATGTATTTGCCATGAAGAGAAATATCGAGAGGAGATGTACGGTAGGACTGGAGAAGTTTACAAAATCTAGTGGTTATGGCTCAGCAGAGCATGTGGCCGGTACTGATTGCCAGAGAGCCAAAATAAAATACTTTTTGCTCTTCAGTGTGTGGGGTTGAGGAACGCAGTATTTGGGGAGTGTTTTGTCTTCACTGGGACCGTTGCATAGTGCTCAGTATGACAGTCACCAGAATAGCAGACCAAACACAGAATCACAGAATCACAGCATGGTCAGGGTTGGAAGGGACCTCTGTGGGTCACCCAGCCCAACCCCCTGCCGAAGCAGGGTCACCTACAGCAGGCTGCACAGGACCTTGTCCAGGTGGGTCTGGAATATCTCCAGAGAAGGAGACTCCACAACCTCCCTGGGCAGCCTGGGCCAGGGCTCCGTCACCCTCAGAGGGAAGAAGTTCTTCCTC